TATTATTATTATTTTGAAAACCAAATCAATACGTTTTATTAAAGAAGATGATGTTCAATACAAGAAGGAACGGAAAATAACTAACTATTTGGATCAGTTTGAGAACGCATTGCTCTTGCCAAGTCGTGAGCTACTTTGTTCACTGATCTAGAAACAAACTGAAAGGACACTGATTCAAAGTTTCTTTTAAGATCACGGCACCCTCGCAAAACGCATCCAACATATGAATGATCCTGAGACGTGCTATTGAGAAACCTGCAAACCATTTGACAATCTGATAGCACAACTCTATTGAAACCCCTATCCTTAAGCAAGGATAGTGCTTCCCTGATCGCCAAGGCCTCCGCTAGATGAGCATCATTCAAGCTTCTAACATGTCCATTTTTAGCTCTTGCGAAAATTCCATTACCATCTTGAACAAAGATGCCATAATAAGCTTCACTATTATCAGGAAAAATAGCAGCGTCGACAAACACACTTACGTATATTATTATTTGATTCTTCCAAAACGAAGTGGTCTCAAATTTCAAAACATAAGTCTTTTTATATTATGGACATTAAAAGACTTCTTTGTGTGTGTACGTGTGTGTGTGTGTGTGTGTGTATATATATATATATATATATATATATATATATATATATATATATATTAGGAATGAATTGTAATAGATGTTGATATGTCAAAGTTATTTTGTAGAATCCCTAATTTTATTTGGTTTAAGTCTAGTTGAGTCGTAGACCATGAACGGAAAATTATTAATTAAGAATTAAAAGAGAAAAACAATGACAGCCTTAGCTTACATGGTGTTCTGCCAACAATGACAGCTTTAGCTTCGAGGAGAATGGACGTTGATACGACTTGCCATCTTTGTAAGCAGCAGCCGGAGACCATATGCCATTTATTTATTGAGTGTACACATGTTCAATCTTTGTGGGATGATACGTCATATTTGCAGTTAGGAATTGGCGAAGATTTTGTATCATGGTTCTCGAAATGGGTGGCTGTAGCTGATGGAAACATTGTGAAGAAATGTGTGGCAGTGTGCTGGACAATCTGGAAGCATCGTAATGCTTTAATATGGAACAGTACAGAATGGCAGCTCTGTACGATTAAGCATGAAATCACAAATTTGTTATTAGAATGGGATGATGGCCATACGCATGCTGCTAACATGTCTCTAACATCACATGCTCAAGCTTATCAACCGCAAGTCCCACCAGGTACGGTTGGTATCTACGTAGATGCGGCAGTTTTCTCGGATATGGAGGATGGTTCTTTTTTTGGTGCTTTCATGACGAATAGCAATGGTGATTATGTGGCTGCAAGAAATGGTCCCATTCGTTGTATGCGGGATGTCTTTTTGGCTGAAGCTATGGCTGTGAAGGAAGCACTGTCCTGGGCCAAGGACAGGGGTGATACGAAGTTGGCCATTTATTCTGATTGCCAACTAGTATGTAAGTGGTTTACTGGCGTGGCACAAGATCTTTCCTATGAAGGTTGCGTTTTAAATGAGTGCCGATCACTTCGACACTTTGAATCAGTGTCTATTCAGTTTATTCCGAGATCAGTGAATAAGTTCGCTCATGCTTTAGCAAGAGCTAGCTACTCGTTCCCAACCTGGTCCTCTATCTTGGTTAAATTTGATTCCTTCTTGTATTGAGCATATGTTTTAATAAAATCTTCTATATTCCTTTCAAAAAAAAAAAAAAGAAGAGAAAAACAGAAGAGGAAGATGTATGAAAAATGGAAGAAGAATATATCAAGCCTAAAATCAATAATTTGTCTAGTGAAAATGACAAACGGAAGAAGATGTATGCATATGATATGTATACATAGAGTCACGCCTATCCATCTAATTGAAGAAGACTTCCCAAAAGAAAATTCAAAGAAGACGTGAACTGAAGATTGCATGAAATTGACTTGGAGATCAAACATATATAGAAATGAAGAATTGTAACACCCCCGATTTTCATGCCATTTTAAAGCTTAATTACGCAAGATAAACTAACCATCAAAACATGAAACGTAAACACATCGGAAGTCTAATATTGAAAATCGGGAAAACAGGGAGTGTTATGTCACGCTCACACCGATGTGAACGCACAGGCAAGGTAAAAAACCAACATCTAATGTATGTTTAACAACAGCGTCACACATGCCAAAACACTAATAAAGCCGTCCAGGGGATCTAGTCTAACCGTGACTAACGCTCTCGCCATCTACTCAGGACCTGTAAAACACATAAAGAAATGGGACGACGCCCGGTCAGCGAATATTGCTGGTAACCCATCAATACGCGTCAATAGCATATATAGATAGATAGTTTATAACAAAATCATTTCGAAACGGAATACTGTTACTGTATATATTTCAGTTCAAAATCATCAGGAGAGAAATTGACTGCAAAGACTCTATTTCACTCTCAATCAAGACACGAGAATCAACATCCAAAGGCAACATCAAGATGCGAACAACAACAGAACACTCAACACGCACAAGATGAAATCTACTGATCACAAAGCATAAATCATCAAAGCAAAGACAACAACAACAACAAGTACAACTCGAGGTGTATTCTACTGATCACAAAGTAGAATACCACTCTACATACTCAACAGATAAGGATAAACATCCACATATTGGCAACACATGCCACCGTGACAACACATGTCACAATTTCCACAATCCATCCTTATGCCCGGTTCCGACCTTATGGCTACCCCCAACCTTATAGCTAGTTCCAACCATTACCTCCAGGACCCCTGTACATACAAGTCCAACCTTATGCCTCCGGGAACCGTCGTTCCCCACCTATACCCACCAAATCAGCAACCACCGATTTCATAGTACACGAGGGTACCGTTCAATTCACACGGCCTGAAGCCCACTCCAACACATATGAGCCTATAGCCCAGTTCACACTCCATAATCACGTCATGGCCACCACGAGGACCACTGCCGTACCTTGGTGACTAATTTCCCATTCCATTAATCGTGCAATCCAGGTACAGCCACACACACCACACATCATAGGAATCAATCAACGGATCACAACGAAGATATGAAATCATACTCAATCAAGGAAAGGATCACAATCCGACTCCAACGATGATCAACAAAAGTTATCATCCACAAGAGGAAAGAACAAACCGCACACACTAGCGTTTCAATCATCAAACTAGCAGGTTTATCAAATGGGTAAACCAAACATAGTTCCGAAGAACATACAAGACTCATCATGGTTCAATGAATCACAAGGTTGAACAGTTAGCACGATTCAAGACACCAAAACCTACATGGAATCCTACCACATAGTTCTAGACATACGAAACATCAAGAAGACACTCAAATAGTTCAACAAAAGAACATCGGGAAGTCAAAACATCAATTACCGAGTCAAAAGAATCACGGGGAACAAATCCCCACACAAACCATCATTGTACCTGTAACTAGGGGTGAGCATCGGTCGGTTTCGGTCAGTTTTCGGTTAATAACCAAAATAATTGAAATTTTGACCGGACCTTCATAACCGACCGATCAACCTTCATAACTGATATAACCAAAACTGACGGTTATAGGTCGGTTAAATATAATCGAATTTTTTTAGTAAAATAGCTAAATTTATTTTATTTATTTGACTAATGTTAAAAAAAAAAACTAAATTATTTATTTGTAGTGTATAATTTATGACCAAAGTTTCATATGGTATCTAGAAGAAGGATATTCTGATGAGTCAACAAGCATAATGAAATAAAACACAGCTTATTAATGAAAGTTTATCCCTCCCTAACAAGCATCAAGTCTAAAAATAAAAAGCTCGAGTAAAAATGAAAAAACGAAACATAATGAAAATCAAATTTCTTTGTCTTTTAATAGAACACGGCTTATTATGTTAGGGATCAACCCCACCTTCCATTTTTTACCTAATCCTTTCTTCTTCTTCTTTTTCATAAAAGTGTTCATCATACTTATGCACCATTTGATGCATACATAAGTATAACGTACGTGCTGTATGATAACAGACTAACAGCTCATGCAAAACTTAATTGCTAGATTAATAATGTGATTTATGTTGGACTGTGTACATTTAAATGCATATCTAACTAGATTAATCTTTGGTTTTTCGGTCGGTTTTCGGTTTTCTCTTGAAAAAACCGATAACCGATCGAAAAACCGAAATAACCGATTTTTTTTTACCTCAATAACCGAAACCGAAACTGAAATATTCGGGTGGTTCGGTTTTCGATCGTCGGTTTTTCGGTCGGTCCGGTTATTTTGCTCACCCCTACCTGTAACACCCCTTATTTTCATACCAAGTTAAACCTAAAACATGCAGATAAACTAACCATAAAACATACACAGCGGAAGACTAGATATGAAATAGATAGAAAACGTAGAGTGTCATGCCACGCTCACACAACGATGAACGCACAGGCGTAAACATCTGCAACATAATCTATCAATCTCAAAACCAAACACTACAAGAAAAATGGCGAATTGCGACGGAATTTTTCCGTCGCGAATGGGCAATATTCCGTCACGAATCGCGTTTCGCGACGGAATTTATTCCGTCGTCTATCGCCTAGTCGTATTTTGATAGACGACGGAATAATTCCATCGCAACTTTTGGCGACGGATTTAGCGACGGAATATTTCTGTCGCCATTTGGCGACGAACTTAGCGACGGAATATTTCCGTCGCCATTTGGCGACGGAAGTATTCCGTCGTGATCGCGTCGCCCATTTCGCAACGGAACTGTTTCCGTCGTTATTTCTGAATCGAATATTCCGTCGCCATATTATCTTTTCCGTCGCCAATTCCGTCGCCCATTTCGCAACAAAAATGTTTCCCATCGAATCATTTGCAACAAATATTCCGTCGCAAATTTTATATTCCATCGCAATTCCATCACGTTTTTGAATTATTTTAAATAGTAATGAATGTTTTTAAAATATCTTATTTTCCTATATCTCAATCATAGCAATTAAACGCCTTAAGCTGGGAAAAAAGCAGCATAGAGATGACAATAATTCTTTATTATTTAAAATTTCAAAACTAAAACAAAAGGTTTAACAAGATGCATCATTAGTCTCTCTAACGGCTACACTACAGTAATCATGTACACATGATTTTCAAATACTTCTACATGATGATTCCACTGGGAATCAATGCATCCTTGATGATTGTGACGATTCCACTTTTAGTGAAATATCCTTCAGTTTCCCTAGCTGCTTCTTGAACATTTTCACTGTTAATGATTTGAAACAATCAAGAGTATGATATCCATTAGATCATGAACTAATAAAATATCACATCCTGCCCAAAAGCCAATTTTAGCCCAACAGGAATGCATGCATTCAGTATCTACATGGATGATTACCTCATAGTAATCTGCTCCCGTCATTAATGTATAATTGCTCCCTCTGATATGCATGATCTAAGTCCAACCACAGAATGGTGAATTTTACAGTTCTGCCCCAAACAACACACTTGTGAAGACAGACCATATAGGTTTCATAGTACTATAGCGTCAACTAGGGGTGAGCATCAGTCGATTACGGTCAATAACCGACCGATAAGAATTAAGATAAGCTTTAGACACTAATCTTTATTAGATTAAGTAAAATGATGGGGTTTCCATATCTCCTTGCCAGGTCTTCAAAATGCATCTTTGTTGCCTCATAAGTTGGATCATATCTTTGTACTGGATTCAGCAGCATAGCACACAACTCAGAAAAATAAGAAGAATATTATAAAGTAATGGTAAAAACCAAACAGATGCAATAGTTCTTACAAATTATATCTGGTTTTGGACTAAATCTTGAAGCTTCTTGTGACCATAAAAGAGGAATTGAACCCCTCATTTGCACAACAGAACTCATTCTTCCTTTGCATGACCCAGCTTTTTCGTCAAGGACAATTTGCTCTGTTTCAACATCATTTACCAATGAAATGGTAAGCCCTTGATGTCCAGATAGTACATTACCTTAACTATCTAAAGCCATGAGAAAAGTAGTTCTTTATTGAATCAATGGGAAAGCTCAAACTCAATAAGCATATTTTTTTTCAATGTAAATAAACCAAAACTGACCAAAACATCTGTCAAAAAAAATTTGATTTAAAATGAAATAGATTTTAATATGACAATACTTTACATTATCTCATCTCTCTATTCAGGTTCTGTTTGATTCAGTTATATACCTATGGGCCACCCATTGAACTAAAACACTTTATATATATCATAGAAAATGCATAAGTAATCAGTTGACGCAACAAATAAGTGAATAGTGAAAGCAACCTACTATTTACACACTTAGATGGTTGAATGAGGAGCCACGGTCACCAATTCAATTAATTAATTATTCAGAACAAATAAATGTCTAACTGATTCTTAGCACATTATTAGCAAGGATTACTGTCCCATGGTACTTCTAGAGAAAAGAGATAGAGACCACACCCTTGGAGCTTTCCAAATATGGTGACTCGTCTCTCTTTCACACATGTACTTAGTTCTCTCCAATATCATACTATAGGCCGAATGTTTTTTCTTCCAAACCTGCCTCTCCAGCTCTCCCCTAACCCCACACTTACTTCCAACATTGTTTGTTGCTTTCAACTTACAACCAACAAAGTGCCATCATGACTTCATACTACACATTTGATAGAAATACCCAAAATATATCAAATGCTTACAGTCCAGCCAAGAGGAATGCCACTGTTTGCATGATAATCACACCTTCACCAGCAGGTTTAGAAGTGTTCAAGCATCTTGCACAGAACCAAGTCTCATGAATTGATGTGACAAGATCTGTCAACAAAATTTCATCAACCTGAATTTATAAGTTTGAAATTAAAATGAATATAACTAAAAATATTTTACAATTAAATTTGGGAATCTATCCATTCCTACTGTGTTTACTGCAACAGTGCAACAATATCCAGCTTGTATCATGCATATATTTTTATATGTAGCTTGAGTGATATTTTCTAGTCCTAGAGAGTAAGAAATCTCCTTCCAGGCACACATAACCAACTAGCTTAGTGATTTTTCTAAGATAAAAAAACATAAACAATTCCATATGAATTATGAAATACACAGTGAATAACTTAAAGTAATAAAATTAAAAATTGAAATAATGTAACGGTAAATAACTTAAACTCTATATGAATTATGAAATACACAGTTTATAATTTTATACTTACTATACTATTTCATTTCTTAATATACATAGTGAATATACTATAACTTAAAGTCACAGTGTATATATAGTGAATATACTATAATTAAAGTCACTTCTTTAAAGTTTTATAGTTTATACTACCATAAGATACTCAATGTGTTTGCTGAAATATATAGTCACAGTACAACACATGAAGTCATGAACTGATGAACACAGACCAGTGAGACCATACACCACAAATACCTCATATACTGATAATTTTACACATACCACATATACTATTTCATTTGGAAATACTTCCACTTCCACAGACCACATATACTGATATACTACCAAGATTCACAGTACAATCCAATCACACAATTTATATTTTAATATAAAATTTAAAGTAAACAAAAATTAAAAATTACCTTGAATAGATTGTTAAATTTTGGAGTCTGAGACTTAGATTTATGGAATTTGGATTTTGGAGTCCGGAGAAAAATTGCAAAATCTGAGACCTTGATTTATCAAAGACTTCAAAGTTCAAAGTCAACAAAAAATTGGATAGTAACTTACCCTTTGATAGAGATGCTGAGCCGCTGAGGCTACGAAGGGCTCTGTGAAACTGTGAACTATGAAGACTGGAGAAGTGGAGAGAGGGCTGGCACCTGGGGGCTGGGGGACAGGCGGAGACGCGGAGTGGAGGGCTTCGAGCCTGCGACTCCTCTCTCGCCGAGTCGCCGGAGAGGGCTGCGGCGCTGCGCGGCTCGCCGGTGGAGTTGCGACTTGCGAGGGCGATTGCGTGGCTGGACTAGGGTTTGGGCGTTCGGCGGATTTGAGAGAATGAGAGACAGGGAGACAGAGCTCAAGGGTAAAGGTTTTTCTATAATTATATAATTATTATATATAATATAATTTATAATATATTAATATTATTAATTAATATATTAATATATACATATAAATAACTTCGGTTATTTGGTGACCGCGGTTTTCAATTGGCTCACCCGTAGCGTTATCAATTTTTTGGTATTTTTGCTCACCCTAGCGTAAACTATAATAATGTTTTATTTAATTTTAATTTTAGTTTCATATTAAAAAGGCCACCGTTTAACTTAGAAGAAAAAATAAAATTTAACAAAAATATTGCGACGGAATCCAGACGGTCGCAATTTTCGTCGTAATATTGAGTCAATATATCAAAATTTAATTCATTTAACTACGAAAACAAGTCGGTCGCAATTTCCGTCGCGCTTTCGCGACGGAACGAACATCGGTCGCCTTTTTCGTCGCAAAATGGGCGACGGAAATTAGTTCCATCGTAAATTCGGTCATGAATATTTTGCCGCCAATATTTCGCGGGCTTTATTTATCTTTGCGCCAAGATTCGCGACGGAATTTAATTCTGTCGCCTTTTCCATCGCCATTTTGCAACGGAATGTATTCGGTCGCAATTTCGGTCGCTAAATGGCGACGGAATATAGTCCATCGCGATTCGCGATTTTTCTTGTAGTGAAAGTCAACGACATAACGTCTAAGTCTAAACAAAGGCACGCAGGCCCAAACCATCATAAAGAAAAGGGGATCTATTCTAACAGCTTCTAGACCGCGCCCTCATCTAATCAGCACCTGAAAGAAACACAGATGTATATATGGGACGACGCCCGGTCAACGAATGATGCAGGTAACCCACCAATACATGTGAAATATCATATGTAGATAGTTTATATGTATACAAAATCATTTGCGAAACGGGATATAGTATATATCAATTTCAAAAGCCAAGATAGAGATCAACACAAGACTCTATGCACTCACAATAAAGATAAGGGGACACATCCCAATACGACAAGAAGCAATAATGACTTACAAGAATGGCTCAAGGCATAATCTACCATCACACAGTAGATTAACACCCGACATGCATAACACAAGAGAATAAGGACGCAACCATTGGCAACACATTGCCTTTGTGACTACACATGTCACAAATAGAGAAATACACAACAACGGCTACACAAGCCTTCGTGACATCACCCATCACGAATTGAGATGCCTTCCTTATGCCCGGTTCCAACCTTATGGCTACCCCCAACCTTATGTCTAGTTCCAGCAATTACCTCTAGGACCCCTGTACATCCAAGTCCAACCTTTTCCCTCCTGGGACCGTCGTCCCCCACCAACAACCACCAACAAGACCACCGATTCATAGTACACGAGGGTATCGATCACACACATGGCAACACATGCCTCCTAAGAAATACGTGAGCCCATCACTCAGGTCACAAACTCCATAATCGCGTCATGGCCACCACGAGGACCACTGCCGTACCTTGGTGACTAATGTCCCATACCATTAATCGTGCAATCCAGGTACAACCACACACACCACACCACAACAGGAATCAATCAACGGATCACAACGAAGATATTAAACCATACTCAATCAAGGAATGGATCACAATCCAACAACAATGATGATTAACACAAGTCATCATCCACCCATAGGAAAGTACAAACAACACACATGCTATCATTTAAACACCGAACTATCATGCTTATCAAACGGGTAAACCAAACATGGTTCCAAAGAACACACAAGACTCATCACGGTTCAATGAATCACAAGGTTGAACACTTAGCACGATTCAAGACACCAAAACCTGCATGGATTCCTACCATATAGTTCTAGACATACGAAACATCAAGAAGATGCTCAAATAGTTCCACAAAAGAACATCGGGAAGTCAAAAGACCAAATATCGAGTCAAAAGAATCACGGAGAACAAATCCCCAACCAACACCATATAACGTACCCGCGGGTGGAGCCACGGGTGGACCTCCACCCGTGGTTCCGCCCGCGGGAACCACTCCCACGAGGCCTTGTACCCCGCGGGTGGTGCCCTGCCCGCCGTTCCGCCCGCGGGTACACACCCTGTACCAAAAACAATTCCTTCGGGGATTTTCAACTCCAAGCTCAAATTCAAGTCCACAACATGCCAAATCTCACCAAATACAACAAAATGACTTGAATCAAAGGAATAGCCAAGCAATGGCATACATGAAACCTAATAACAAGCTCTAGATATGCATTTTCACAAGACAATGCATCAACACTCACATTTCATAGCAAAATCACATGTAGAATCCAATAAATCATCATATAGGTAAGCAAAATAGATTTTGTAAAGCATGGGTTACCTCTTGTAGACAAAAACCTTCACTTAACACTTCACCAAGCTCCTAATAGGGTTCACCTTCCACACCCACTTCAAGAACACACCAAAAGATCATAAAGATTCTATCTTTAAGGAAAGACACCTTAGAAAACACTAAAAACACAAGATAAACATAGATCTTACCCTCCTAGATGCTCAAAGGTAGGAAATGTGGAATCTTGGAGACAAACTTTGAAGATTGGGTAAAACTCCAACTTGGCTTGGAAGAAAAGCTATCTAACTTTTAGAGAGAAGGAGGAGCTCAAGTTTGGAAAGTGTTAGGGGAAAGAATGAGGGGTGTCTTCTAGGTTAGATTGCATTACTAACATAAGGTGAAATGTCTTGATTAACCTTACTAAAATGAAGAGGTGTAAGGGTACAAGGGAACTACTTACAAAGCTTTAGGTACAACACTTGACTTTGGGTTGACTAGTCAATTACTAGTCCCCGACTATTGAATTTTCAGGAATTTAAGGAATTAAATTATCAATTGGATTAGGATTAATTACTTAATTAATCCTTAATTGAATTTGGATTACGGGGTGTCACAGTACCCCGCGGGTGGGGCCACGGGTAGACCCCCACCCGTGGTTTCGCCCGCGGGAACCACCTTCCCAAGGCCTTGTACCCCGCAGGTGGGGCGGCGGGTGGACCCCTACCCGTCGTTCCGCCCGCGGGTACACGTCCTGTACCAAGATAATCCCTTCGGGGATTTTCAACACCAAGCTCAAATTCAAGTCCAAAACACCAAAAATCTCACAAAATACAACAATATGACTTGAATCAAAGGAATAGCCAAGCAATGACATACATGAACCCTAATAATAAGCTCTATATATGCATTTTCACAAGATAATGCATCAACACTCACATTTCATAGCAAAATCACAAGTAGAATCCAAGAAATCATCATATAGGTAATGAAAATATATTTTGTAAAGCATGGGTTACCTCTTGTAGCCTAAACCTTCACTTAATACACCTTTTCAAGCTCCTAATAAGGCTCTCCTTCAACCCCAACTTCAAGAACACACCAAAAGACCATAAAGATTTCATCTTTAGAAAAAGATACTTTAGAAATCACTAAAAACACAAAAGGACCATAGATCTTACCCTCCTAGATGCTCAAGAGTAGGAAAGGTGGAATCTTGGAGACAAACTTAGAAGATCTTGGAATGCCCAAACTTAGCTTGAAGGAGAAGCTAGCTAAATTTCTAGAGAGAAGGAGGAGCTTTTGTTTTGAGAGTGTAAGGGAAAGAATGAAAGGCAACTCTAGGTTAGCTTGGAATACAATCATGAGGTGAAATGTCTTTATTACCCTTACTAAGATGGAAAAGTGTAAGGGAACAAGGGAACTATTCACAAAGCTTAGAGTACAACTCATTGACTTGGGTTGACTAGTCAATTACTAGTCCCCCACAATTGAATTTTCAGGAATTTAAAGAATAAATTGTCAATTAGATTAGGATTAATTACTTAATTAATCCCTAAATAGAATTCGGATTTACGGGGTGTCACAAGAAGTATATCAAAGAATAATGGAGATATTACCAAATGATCGTATAGACGGATTGGAAGATACCTAAAATATTATACCCAATGACTCATGTTCAAATCTCACCATGACTTCTACCATTTGCATGAACTTGGAGCTCAAACGGCACATTACCATAAGATAAGATAAGATCTCTGACAAAAAGATACAAGAATTCAAATTTGAGATGCTCTTTTTCAACGAGCAAATTCTCAAAACCAGCTATATAAGGATGAAGATTTGAAGATTGAAGCAGAGTTTTCAAGAACCAAGAATTAGAGAGCAAGAAATACGAACAAAAGTGAGAAAATACACAAGTGGTTTGCTGCATATTGAAAATCATCAACAGAGTCTCAAAGTTGGAAGCAAGAAAACTTGTTTTTCTACAAACAAGTGAAGTCCATACGGGAGTGTAGGAAGGAGATTGTCACACGGAGTTATAAAGTCTTGGAGAAGGGAAAGTAGCACGGAGTTGTGAAATCCAAATTGTAGTTCTATCGGAGCATAGAAAAGGAGGAAAGTAGCACGAAGTTGTGAAATCTTGAGAAAGTAGCACGGAGCTGTGAAATTCGAATTGTGTGTGCAATGATATTATATTCATTATTTGTACCCTCCAGTAAATGTCCTACTGTCTCGATCAGATTTGGCTTCTAAACTGATCCTAATCTTTAATTCAAAGCTCAAAAGCATGCACAACCTCAAAAACCTAAGTATTCCCCCACCATTACAATTCTATACCATATGCATTCATCAATCTTGATACAATTTCACTCAGTTACCAACCTATAATAGGGATTATCAGTTCGTGTTCATTACCTGAGTTGGGCGTCTCCATGTCAACAATATTTGCTTCCATCTCTTCTCGCTTCACCGCTCGTACCACTCTCCTTGAACGAAGACGGCGCATTCCAGATTTGCTATACCACTCTCCTTGAACGAATATTCCATCTCATGTGCAATATATTGCAAGACAGTGACCTTGCTGAGCTTATAATAAGGAGCAAATTGATAATATGGGATGAAGCATTGATGACTCACAAACACTATTTTGAGGCTTTGGACAAATTCATGAGGGATCTATTGAGGTTCCCCTTATTGGGTAGTGTTGAAAAGACTTTTGGTGGAAAGACAATAGTTTTGGGCAGCGATTTTAAGCAGATCCTACATGTTATTCCGAAAGTAACAAAACCAGTAGTTGTCGGAGCAAATATTAATTCTTCATACATGTGGACAATTTGCAAGGTATTAAGGCTCACCAAGAACTTGAGGCTACGGATCTTAACTTCAGAGGAAGATAGACAGACAGTTAATTGGTTTTCAAAATGGATTGCAGACATCGGAGATGAGATTGCAAGGGTTGTAAACGGCGGTTCATTTGAGATCGATATTCCGTCACATTTTTTGTTGAAGTGTGGACACAATCCCATAGCAACTATAGTGGAAAGGACATTCCCAAGCTCGAGATATGACATGCTTGATGAGTCGCAACTAGAAGGCCGAGCGATCCTCTCGCCGACTTTAGATGTCGTTGATCAAATTAATTAGTACATGTGAGACATGAATACTGCAGAATGACGAATATATTTAAGTTGTGACTCTTTGTGTAAGGCAGAATCAGACAGTAAAAATCAATTAGAAGTACACACTCTTGAATTCTTAAATAGTTTGAGGTTGTCTGGTCTTCATAATCATTCATTGACATTAAAGGTCGGTGCACCTGTTATGTTATTGTGGAACATAGACCACTCTCTTGGTCTTTGTAACGGGATGCGACTCATCATCACAAGATTGGTAGATTACATCGTCGAAGCAAGAATAGTTAATGGGACACATGAAGGAACAAAAGTTCCTATCCCCCGAATGTCTCTCACTCCTTTTTATACGAGATTGCCCTTCAAGTTCCAGCATAAACAATTCTCGTTGATGCTTGCATATGCCATGATTATCGACAAAAGCCATGGTCAAACACTAACTCACGTTGGGTTATTACTAAAAAAACCGGTCTTTAATCACTGACAATTATACGTTACTTTCTCCCGAGTCACCCATCCTGATGGACTGAATGTGTTAGCTCTAGACAAGGATGGACAAGATTGTGTTGCGACTACCAATATCGTCTACAAAGAGGTTTTCAATAATGTGTACATACAATCGATGATATTATGTTTTCATTTTTTTTTCTTTCAAAATGACAAAATTGCTATATATGTAGACAAAATATATCCTTTATACAAATGAATCAGGATAGCAATTGATTACTATAACTAAGTTGCTAAAGAACGAGCACATTTCCTCAATTTATAAAAATCCTAAACAATGATATATAAAAATCTCTAAAGTTACAACACCGCATGCGTACATCTACACATTTACTATTAATTTGAGCAATTACTTACTCGAATTCAAGCAATGATAACATCAACAAATATAAACGATCAAAATCATATCTTCAATTGCACTATATAATACGGAGTATTTGATGTTATAATTTAAATAATTGTATATCAATCCATATATTATTAATTAATATATTATAACAAATTCATTCCGTGCATCACACAGTGAAAATATTAGTTATTCTTAAAAATTATAATAAATTCATCCCTTACAATGCACATATGGTGAAAATATTAGTTATAAGAAAAAGTGATTTTCACTTGCAAAAATTATAATTATTTTGGAACACAATATCTACTAAATTCAATGCAGTATTTAAAAATTTATGAGATACAATAATCTTTCTTATCATAAAATGATCAAAATTTCATTTTTTAATAGTTATAAGATTTATGTCTTTGTTCATTATTTCAATAATATAATTTTGTTCCCTTAGGGTTGGGGTTCAACCTTTTGGAAGAATAATATAATTTTGTTATTATCTTTTAGCATGTTTATAACTAGAAAATAAATAAACTTGTAAGTTGTTTGATATAAGTTGTATACTTGTATTTTTGAATTTCCAGATATCATAATTTCTACAAAAAATAAAAATAAAAGAAAAATTTGAGCTTAGCTAGTTAACTACACAGCTAGTAGTCATATCTCTCACAACAGCTCTGGCGGAGTATTCAACTCGCCGCTCCCTCGTATTCATCGACAGCTCCTTCCTTCAAATCTCCTCTCCCCTCTCTTTCTCTCTCACTCTCGCGTGCACGCATTCCGCAGGTATCAACGCTCCAATCTTAGATCCAATGTATCCTTTTCCGTTTTTGAATTTCGTTTTTCTCTGTTCAAAATGTTATCTTTATGGCTTATGCTTCCGCGGGGAATGCTTTTTAGCCCTCATTTTAATTGATTATTGATTTTGTTGGAAGTTTATTTTGTTTTGTTTGTTTTGCAGTGATCAGAGAGAATGGAATCTGCCGCCGCGACTAGCTTTTGCACCAAATCTATCTCCTCCTCGCCTTTTCGCCCAGTAGGTTTACTGCGTCTATAAGAATTCACTACTGCATTTTGTTAATGCTCAATAGTTTGAGCTCTTTCTTTTGAGATATAGATATACATGGTATTGTTTTGATTCTTTGGAGTCTCCAAGTTGTTATCTTGATAGCAAACTTGGACTTGGATATGTGGAAAATCTGTTTTAGCCTGTTTACAGTCTGTGTTTATCTAATTTGTGTATAGTGGAAGCTGCTTTATGTGTATCTAGTTGAAGTTAGTGCTTACTTCCAAACTGATTAATAATCTACTGTTTTAAAATTAGAAGCTTTGGCATGTATTAAGTTGATGAAGTGCTTACTTCCAAAATCATGCCCATCAATGAGCAATTGTGCCCGTGATTACTGCTATATTAGTTATTTTTTGTTTTCTTTCTGTTTTCTTTTTAACTTGTTAGCTTATCCGAAAATGATTGGTCTCTTTGATAATTTTGATTCTTGCACACTTCACGGTGTCTGACATACTCACAAAAATTTGAATTAATTCCCGTAGTATTGTGCAACAACGTCATCACTTTTTACTGTTTCCTAAGTTTAGTCATGATATCAATCTGCTTTATCTTTTTGTTCCTTATTCTATGATAGGGTTTACTCATTGGGAGAACTAGTATTAGTAGCTCTCAGTGTAGCTTTACGGTAGGAAAGAGGATAAACTTTCCACGACAGAGGCTTCAAGCATCTAGAGTTAGTCCTAAATCTAGCAAATATGGTGGAGCTCTTGGTGCAGTATGTCAGGCTGGTAAAATCTTGGTGGCAAACAGAGGGGAAATTGCAGTTCGTGTGATTCGGACTGCTCATGAAATGGGGATTCCTTGTGTTGCAGTTTACTCAACCATAGACAAAGATGCCCTTCATGTGAAGCTTGCAGATGAGGCTGTTTGCATTGGTGAAGCTCCTAGTAATCAATCGTAAGTAATTAATAGACTTATTGCATTTTTTGTTTCTTGTGTTTGTTCCTCTTCCTTCGTGGCCATCGTAAATGTCATATGATGCAGTTGTCATGTACTCATGTCAAGTAAAATGACAAAGCCTAGTTAATATCCATGGCAAAGATTCTTTTTTGCCTTCTCATGATGTAACGTCAGTTGTCATATCAAGTAAAATGAAGCTGAAATAGAACTATGGCTTTTGCTGTTTCTAGTTTGTAGATGATTAAGAGTTGAAGCTGTTATCTTGTATATTAAGGCTTCAATTATTTTTCTACATTATCTCTTTTTTGAAGTTGATTTCCCATTCCGTTTTTTGATACCGGTACTCTATTCTTTGATTTCTTGTTGCTGTGTATATGAATTGTATGAATATTTGAATTAATTTGAAGTAGTTAAATAATTCCGTTTCTCTTTTGGAAAATTTTAAACCAAGTCTATTATAATTTAGGATTACAACTATAAAGATATGGAATGCGTAAATTGGCCTTCAATTCCCCTATTTATTTTGTATTTAGACCCGTTATTGCAAATGAGGGACTTTCTGTCATAAGGAAATAGTTAGCTTACAAGATAAGCTAAGCAATGAAGCAACAAAAAAAATCCCTTCAACAAGCTTTATTTTCATGTACCACATCTGTAAAATTGATTATGTAATGACCTACAAGTGTGAGTCCAGTAACTGCAATAGTTTCTGCATTCAATTATGTTAAAGTTCTACTAATATGCCAACGTTATCCTTTTTACAGAATCTAGCTTAAATTTTTTGTATTTGCAGTAATTCTACAACCATCACTCAGGCATAATGTCATCAGCTGTTTGGTTTTATGGTTTCTTGCCTAATTGATGAATTTCTTATTTTCTGATGGAACTGGAAGCTAATATGTTGATGTTACTGTATATATTATTTTATTGTGACATTTGTAACTCTCTTTGCTATTTTTCAGGTACTTGTTGATCCAAAATGTCTTATCTGCTGCTGTAAGCCGTGGATGCACAATGCTGCATCCAGGGTATGGTTTCCTTTCTGAGAATGCCCTTTTTGTCGAGATGTGCAAAGAACATGGAATCAACTTTATTGGGCCAAATGTAAGTTTTGTGGATTCAATCAAAATATGTTGTTCAAATGCCCATTCTATCATAACCACCAAACCCCAAAATCAAAAGGAAGACATTGGTTATGATATTAGTGGAGATAACATCAACTATGGAACAGACATGCAGTTGTATGTATACGCACATAGAGAAAATTTCCTTGGACTATGGTTTGAATTTCTTATTTTGAAATTTGCAGCCAGACAGTATAAGAGTCATGGGTGATAAGTCAACTGCTAGAGAGACAATGAAAAATGCTGGTGTCCCAACCGTACCAGGAAGTGATGGATTGTTACAGGTATTATTCATACCAAATCTTTTATACTATACTAGCCTTAACATATAATATTATGTTTTCTATCTTCTTAACTCTTTTTCCTGGTATTGCCATAAATAATTATATATTATCATGATTTCAGAGCACTGAAGAAGCGGTGAAGCTTGCTGATGAGATTGGTTACCCTGTTATGATTAAGGTGATTTTCTTCTTGAATTATCTCTTCCTGCTTAATGGGGAATGCAATCAAGTCCTTAAGCCAACTAAGTTTATTTAAATTTGGTGTAATTCTTGAAGATACTGTGTAGTTGTACGACCACATCTTTACATGCTGAAAAAGTTCTCATTACTTGGTATTTTTTTTTTTTTTTTGCATAGTTTCTGAAATTTCTAACAGACCTCATACTATATTAGTAAAGTTTATGAAGACAAGTATGAATATAGAGTCAATGAGAATAGCTTGCAGCAGACCATAAGTGGTGCAATACTAAATCTTGCGAGAATAAATTAGATTGAAAAGAACTGAAATAGTCTTGGTTGTAGCCAGAATATATTTTTATAGAAATTGCAACTGCAACTCATGAATACTATGTTTTGAAGGCAACTGCTGGTGGTGGTGGGCGTGGAATGCGTCTTGCTAAAGAACCTGATGAGTTTGTGAAGTTATTACAGGTGTGTTTATCATAACCCTATGGATACTCATATATTCATATATCATTATATTGTTGCATGGAGCATCTTAGGAAATTGGTGCATATATAATATATTTAGCTCTAGGTAACCTGAACCCCAGAACTTCTGGATTTTTGGTAATTCATTGAAGAAAATTTCTGAAATTATCTTATAAGGTATTCTCTTAGAAATAACCACTTTTTTATCCACTTAGAATGAACCATTGTTTTATATAGTATTTCTTTTAATACTAGTTCAATTTCATTACTACATTTTCTTGGATCATTTATGCAATTTAAAATATTCCCTTGCAAACACATGCTATGGTGCTCATTTCTTCTTCTGTCTTACTGAATTCTGCTTCCACCTTAAACTATGAAATATTTCTTAAAACTAGACTCTTTTTGTTTTGACAGCAAGCTAAGAGTGAGGCTGCAGCTGCATTTGGAAATGACGGTGTTTATCTGGAGAAGTACATCCAAAATCCTAGGCATATTGAATTTCAGGTATTCTGAACTGTCAGAAATATATGACGTGATTAATCTCTTAAGTTCATAAAATGGCTTCAAATTGATCAATGTTTTCCTTATATTTTAGTGATTACATAAATACACAATGGTGAGAGTGGAGCAACATAATCTGTTCCTTTTTAAATTGAGGTCACTAGACTATTGTGTGAAATCTTTGTAGAAAAAACTGAGATTCTTATTTTATAACTGATTTGCTGTGAATGGTGGAAATTACTGCATGAGATCTTACACAGCTGCAAGCCATGCAAGAATGCCTGGTATAAGTTATGAAGTAGTAGTAGTTAGCTTGGAATAGCTGCTTTTCATGCTACAGTTTTACAACACAAGCTCTGTACCTTATTATAAAATTTTGGGAAAAGATCTTTCTTCTTATTATACTAAGATTTGATAATGGACATTAAAAATGCATCATGTGATGACATTAATGGTTCAATATACTAGAAAGAAAATCCAGAAGAACTGGATTATTTTCATTTTCAATTTATTTATTGGTATTTGGTACTTGACCTGGATTGTTCTCCTTTTGCTATTATTAATCAATGTTTTTCTCAAAATCCTATATATTTAGTCATAATTGCATACTATCTAAGAGTTGCTAACATATTGTAAATAATTTTAGCTAGAAACCAGTGCCCTTGTCCCTTGTATCAGCCACTGCCCTGCCCTTTTTATATAAATGTCCAAAGAAATTAGGTTTAAACTCTCTAAATTCTTGTAATTACAACTGTAATAAATTTTCCCCTGCAGTTGTAACAATTATCAGGGACATAATATTTCCTGTCAATATTCTTAAAGTTGAATGTGCATCCTATGACTTTATAATTCAAAGCTTTGATGTTGTGTTCAGGTTTTGGCAGACAAGTATGGCAATGTAGTACACTTTGGGGAGCGTGATTGTAGTATTCAGGTAAACATTTAACACTGAAATATTTTGTTTTTGTTTTGTTTTGTTTTGTTTTTTTTTTTGTTTTTTGTTTTTTGTTTTTTCCTTTTCCTATTGGCTTATTCTATTTTCTCTATTCTCATTACCATGCCATTTGGAATTACACTCTCTGAAATAACCAATGATGCTTGATGCATTTGTTGGATTATTACAATTACAATTACAATTGCACTCTGTTCTCCTTGGATTATTATGTGCACTAGTATCATTTTCTACGGTGAAAATTATCGCATTGAAGAGTATCAGCCAATCATTTCTATGATTCGAAGATTCATGGGGCTAGAGGGTTCAATAATCCTGTTTTATTTATTATTCTTGATTATTCAAAATAAAAATTAACTACAATGAAGTAATATTTGTTTCAATATTTTCTTATAAATGATAAATGATAAATGAGAGAATATTATTTTGACCAAAATACTGTCATTCAGGTGCACCTGATATCCTCTTCTTCTCAGCAAATCAGTGTTTGTTTATGTTTCTTATATATATCATCTAGTGAAGGACTTCTAGATCCTTGTCCTCTACAACTGGATTGTTTTTATTCATATCAACTTCCGGGGGATAAGTTTTTATCTGTTTTCTTAAGTCCAAAAGAAAAGTACTGTCTCTATAGGTTTTTGTTGTATTAATGGCGAGATTAAGTTTGTCAGGAAGGTTGGTTATAGTATTGATTGTTTGGTAATCAAGCAATTGAAATGGTTTTTCCCCCTTTGCAGAGAAGAAACCAGAAGTTGCTGGAAGAAGCACCTTCCCCTGCATTGACACCAGAGCTGCGGAAGGCTATGGGTGATGCAGCAGTTGCAGCAGCTGCATCTATAGGTTACATAGGTGTTGGTACTATTGAGTTCCTTCTGGATGAAAGAGGATCTTTTTACTTTATGGAGATGAATACTAGAATTCAGGTGAAGCTTGAAGCTCAGTGTCTATTTTACATCCCCAAATAGTACACATTCTCCATTGTGAAATACTTGTTTATTTATCTTGTTGTCCATCTGTGGGGATGGAGGAATTCTATAATATTTAGTAATCATGTCACTTGGGCGAACATCTTAGGTAGAGCATCCGGTTACAGAAATGATTTCCTCTGTTGATCTAATAGAAGAACAGATCCGTGTTGCTATGGGAGAAAAACTTCGCTACAACCAGGTAATGAACTATGACATTATGAGTTTTGGGAAGTGAACCATATTCCATTTGCTCATTATCTGTTGTTTCCGTCTCCTGCGTGCAGGAGGATATTGTGCTAAGAGGTCATTCAATTGAATGCCGGATTAATGCAGAAGATGCTTTCAAAAATTTCAGACCTGGGCCAGGTGTGTCTGAATTCTGTTGTTTGCTTGCTTGCTTTTGTATGAGTTCTCTAGTATTGTATCTGAAGTCTATCATTTCTGTGCATGTGGTTCATAGTGTTTCCTTATATTTAATAGAAGTCAGACAATGCAGTGGACGAGTAAAAATTGTCACATGGATTAAACTCTTCCTTTTTTTGTAAATAGGGAGAATAACTGCATATTTGCCAGCTGGAGGTCCATTTGTGCGCATGGATAGCCATGTTTATCCTGATTATGTGGTTCCGCCAAGTTATGATTCCCTACTTGGAAAGGTGTGTCCTATTTAATGATAATCTTTTGCTGCTTGTGCAATAGTATTTCTTTTGCCTTTTTTGAGATCTCTCTGGTTGATCCTCATGTTATAGCCTTTCATCTAAACATAAATGTTTTTCTATATTGTATTGCTGAAGTTTGATTTCATTTTAGAACATTGCTCTGGCCAGAGAATGATATGAACAGATTTGGTTTGGTCTGTTTAGTGTACTTCTATATTTGAAGGGCATTCTGCTCCAATGTGTGCATAGTTATGTTCATGGTTTAATTGTCTATATTCTTTGATAAGCGAAAAAGAAAATTGATTAAGTAGCCTTATAACTTGTTTTTTCAGCTTATTGTATGGGCCCCAACCCGTGAGAGGGCTATTGCACGCATGAAAAGAGCACTTGATGACACTATTATTACAGGTAAGACCCACAGTATCTGATGTTTTCTTTTATTTGTTAAATTTAGAAAATTGGTGGAGTGTTTTGTGTAGCCAGTGTGGGGATTTATATATTGGGATTGGGTTTGGATTTGGATTTGGATTATCATGAAGAGGAAGCTCTAGCATTGGGTGGGCAGGTTAGGGGATCCACATTGTGAATGTCTACATGCTAATCAAGCTATATGGTAAACATGGAAGGAAGGAATTGGGTATTTTGACTATTTTCACTTCATTCTATCTCCTGCCTCAATAACTTAGATCCTAAGGCACGTTTGGTTTGTGGAAAATATTTTAAGGGAAGTGGAATTGAAATTCCATGGAAAAACAATTACTAGGAAGATGGATTTCATTGTTTGGTTGGCGGAAAAAGAATTACTGGGAATACTAATTCTATTGTTTGGTTAGATTTGGAATTGTAATGAATAACAAGTATAAAGACCTATATGCCACTACAAATTAATAAAAGTAATATAATTAAAAAAAGTAAACAAGGGTAAAATAGGCATTCCATCTCACTTTTTCTTCCCATCTTCCATGGAAAACAAAATCCTTGGTCCAACCAAGGATTTTGTTTTCCTCAAATTTGAGGAATTCATTTTCCAATGGCAAATGAATTCCATGAACCAAGCACCAAAAAGCAACATTTTCCTCCACTTTAAGAAAAATATTTTCCTTCGGAAAACATTTTCCATGAACCAAACATCCCCTTAACTGTTATTTCCATCTCCTCTTTGCAGCAATTTTCCATTGGTCGCCCATATTAACTTATTTCCCTTTTTGAATGAGCTATTTTGACTGCACAAAGATATGGAGTATAACAGTTTTTGTTTGGTTATGTTCGAGTAGGAACAAAAACATTGTCAAATGGTATTTTTTGTTAGTTTGAGATCTTGGAGGTTGTGATACATGCCACTTAGAGCCAAACATAGAAACTGAATCATCTAAAATCGGATAGACACAGTATTTCTTGAAGTCGGTCATCTTCTATCATGTTTTGGAACAATAGATATATCTGCTTGCTTGGATGCAATTAGTTATTTGTAGGAGCTATCACATATACCATCCAGTTATTGAATCTATAATGTGTTTAATGCCTGCAGGTGTTCCAACTACAATTGATTATCATAAACTTATCCTTGACATTGAGGTGGGCAAATTATGAAATTCTGATAGCATATAAATGCACTTACACTTACACACATGTATATATAAATATATTGGTTAAGTGATATCCAAAATATGCAGTGTTATTTATTCTAAATTTGTCTTCGAATGCTTTTAACAGGATTTCAGAAATGGGAAAGTTGATACAGCCTTTATTCCAAAGCATGAAGATGAATTAGCTGCTGTAAGAATTTACCAGTTTTTCGTCTATAATTGCTTTCTATTTGCACATATATCCTGCATGTGAATATCAATACAGGGGTTAGTGCAGAAATGAATTGTGTTACATAATAATATGTAAATAGGAGCTAGCTAATAAGCCAATTTCTGATTGCTCATGCTGCCTAAGAGGATCCAGTACCATTACATCAGCATTTCCATTTCTAAGAACTTTCTAGAAGTTGGCCTAAACATTTATACCTTAATTTTCAATAATCAACATATAAATATTATATGGCCTTGTTTGGTAAATGGCTGTTAGCCGTTAGCTGATTTGGTTAATTAGAGGGTAAAACTAGTTATAACATTAGCTGATTGTAGAAAGGTGTTTGGTAAATTAGCTGTTAGCTGATAGCTGTTTGGTATAATTTCCTTTCTCAAAAAGCCAAATGAAAAAGTTGCTTTGAGCAGCTTTTTGAAGTTACAAAAAGCTAATTAACCAAACACTTATATTGATTTTTTAACCAAATCAAAAAGCTAAGTGGTCAAATAAGCCAAAATTAGTCTATAGGCTAATTATTTTGCCAAACAGGGCCGAGGCGATATGACTTAACAAATCATTCTTTTGGGTGGGCAAAGAATACATAAACACGGGAGATACAAATAATATTTGTGTACCATGCATGCATGATGTTGCATAAAGTGTATAATTTGATGTTGATTTCAACTTTATGGCCACAGCCTACAGTTACAGAGAAAGAGTTGGTGAAGGCTAGTGCTTAAAACTTTCTTCCAGTTGGAGTGGATTATTTTCCAATCGGTCTGAACTTCAGAGTTTTTATTTTGAGTTTAATCTTCTAGCCATTTAGCATCGATGAATAGACTTGACTTGAGATTCAAATAGAAATGTATTATTTTTCCTTGATTTGTCATGTGGTGAATCACTTCTGTATTTGTAAACAATAAAACTTGGGACGTTTTATAGTTTATTGTATGTGCTGCTGCTAGAGTTTTTAATTAAAGAATCACCACTGAAACTCTATCTCCCACAGACAATGAACGCTATATCTTTACAATGAGAAAACATCATTTTTAGTCCCTCGACTATAATGTATGTATTAATTTTAGTTCTTAATTATTAAAATTTTAGGTGCATGAGTATTCAATTTGTATCACATTTGGTTTTTTAACTATTGACATTTTTAAATTATGTGCATGACTATTCAACTTGTATCACATTTGGTCTTGTTAAATTTTTTGATCAAATTTTTGATCAAGTCATGGTGATCGGTTAATTTATTTAATTTTTATTTTAAAAATTATTTTAATAATTTTTAAATTTAAAAACTTAAAAAAAAAAAATGCCCCCCCTCCTCCCACCTTCCTCTTTCATCTCTAGTAGAGACGAAGGAGGAGGAAGGGTGGCCGGCGTTATCTTTCCCTCCTTCGTCTTCGGCGGAGACAAAGGAAGAATGGGGAGAAAGAGAACGTTGGCCACCCCATCGCTTTCTTTCGGAGACAAAGGAGGAGGGGGTGGGATGGCCGTCGTTTTATTATTTTATTATATATTATTATTTTTTATTTTTAAGGTTTTTAATTTAAAAATTATTAAAATAATTTTAAAATAAAAATTGAATAAATTAGTTGGTCACCGATAATTGGTCAAAAGTTTGATCGAAAAATTTGACGGCAAGTTCAAATGTGATACAAGTTAAATAGTCATGCACTTAACTTGAAATATTAATAGTCAAGGACCAAATGTAATACAAATTGAATAGTTATGCACCAAATTTGAAAATTTTAATAGTTAAGGACTAAAATTGTTACATGTATTATAGTCGATGGACTACATTTGAATGAAGGTTATACCCTTCATTTATGTCCGTTTTTTCCGTTAAGATTTTTGATACATTATGCTATAAAAGTTGTACTATACAATATTTTGGCAATAGTTATGCTGTGCAACCGAATGCACCATGCGCATGGTGCATACAATGCAAAACGACGTCGTTTTGACTAAAAACGCGCGTCCCACTTAAAAAAAAAAATACAGGGGTTCGATTCTCGGCAATAGCATTATTGTGGATATATAGTTATGAATTTCTGGATATATAGTTATGAATTTGTGGATATATAGTTATGAATTTATGGATATTTAGTTCATTCATTGTGGATATTTACTTCATTCATTGTAGATATTTACTTCATTCATTCACTGTGGATATATAGTTATGAATTTCTAGATATATAGTTATGAATTTATGGATATTTAGTTCATTCATTGTAGATATTTACTTCATTTATTTACTGTGGATATTTAGTTCATTCATTGTGGATTTTTACTTCATTCATTCACTGTGGATATTTAGTTCATTCATTGTGGATTTTTACTTTATTCATTCACTGTGGATATATAGTTATGAATTTATGGATATATAGTTATGAATTTATGGATATAAAAAAAATGCTATTGCCGGGAATCGAACCTGATTTCTTCTTTAAGTGGGATGTGCGTTTTTTAACCAAAACGACGTCGTTTTGCATCGAATGCACCATGCGCATGGTGCATTCGGTTGCACAGCATAATTTGCGATATTTTGGACAAACATACCTCTACTTTTATAACTTCCATTATCTTTTCAACTATTGTTACTATGCGCATGCATCCACCACATATTTTCTTATATTCTTCAATAATAATAATATATACACTTTATAATAATAATATATACACATTTAAATATAAATATCAAATTTATAAAAATGTTTTACATTATTATAAGGAGTAATTATTATTTACAATAATTTAAATATCTAAAATCTAAATAAATTTAAAATTTAATATAAAATATTAATATTGGGCACTTATTTCTTGCGCTTCGCGCATAAAAAATACTAGTATATAAAATGAAGTTGAATACGTCATAAAATATAATTAGTTGGACGAAACAAATGTTGTTTTTTTCCATTAAAAAAATGATTTCACAAGTCTTCTTTGCTTCTGTAATACAGCAACAAGTGTAAACACTGATTTATGGAGAGATCCGAGGATTGAATTCAACGCTTTATTATTGAAATCCGTTGCGGTCTGTTCTGGTTCAATCCATACCTCCCCAGGCTTCAACTCAGAAGTGTTATTTGGTCAAGTTTAGTAGGTTGTGTCCAACCAATAACAAACAACCCTCAATACATGTGATCCTTGAGCTTGGATATACACTTCAATTCTAATTTTCCAGAAAGCGTAATATGTGTCATCCATTTCAGGTGGACGCATATTGCTCTCCTTTTTGTCAAAACAAAACAGGGCCAAGAAATACAACCAAGATTCACAAGAACACCACAATTCTAACAATTAATCAAGAAATATATCCAAGAAACATTAATCTAACCACATTCCCTAAGGATGAAATCAATTTGTAGATTTAAAAACTATGATACCAACTGAGAGTTCAAGTGTTCCTCGAATTATCTTGATTAAATTGTTTCTCCAGATTATGATTACTAACTCAATTACGATTTAATCATACATTAGGTCACATTATGAATTGTGCAAAAGTGAATAAACACAAGGTTTGATAACCCATTTTGGTGCAAACCACACCTACGTATGAGGGACCACCAACGGTTAATCCAATCCACTATCTAAACAAATGTTTAAACAAACAGTAAGAGAACAATCTGACCAATATGTGATGTACCCCAAACTGTATGTACCAAATCTACAAGTCACCATAGATGGATTGATTTCGAACTCAGAGATCTTTAACATTGCTATCTCGCTCCCACCGCTGCACCACAGCTAACATGGAATACCGTCCTTGAAGTGATAAAGTCACTTGAGTTTCTTCTCTTCAAGATCAATAAAAATCCAGGTTCTAAATGAATATCTTGAGAGAATATTTTCAAGTATTTCTTGTAAAACTTGTAGAGAGAGGTTTTTCTGTCAAAATGTAATCATCTCTCATTCTCTCTATAACTACCTTCTCTCTAGAATATATATACTCGGAATTTTGGTGAAAGTAATTTGTTAGATATTTTCTTGTAAGACAAATTACTCACTCACCCTTGAGATATTAATTGAGAGAATGATCCTCTTTCGTTGGATCTCTCAATTAAATAAGCAAGGATAATATCGTAAATCACCTCAAAATAGTTATTCCCTTATCCGGCTATAACTACCTTCTCTCTAGAATATATATACTCGGAATTTTGGTGAAAGTAATTTGTTAGATATTTTCTTGTAAGACAAATTACTCACTCACCCTTGAGATATTAATTGAGAGAATGATCCTCTTTCGTTGGATCTCTCAATTAAATAAGCAAGGATAATATCGTAAATCACCTCAAAATAGTTATTCCCTTATCCGGCTGTAAAATAGCCACCTGGAATAGTTTTTGGACATGACTGTTGCAAGTTCTGTTCCAAAGTATCTTCCAGCGTCGTATTTTAAGTTTTTGTGGCCCTGTTCTAGTAAATAAATGTGGCCTTACCAAATCACAATTTTGAAAATCAATACATGCAAGTTTTGAACCTTTGACCTCCAAGTTAAAATACAATAAATACACATTCTCACCATCTCTTCATAAAACCTTTTAAATTCAAATGAAAAAAATTTAATTTTTATTTCTTGACTAACTATGTAAAAATTAAATAATGGACCTCTAAAATTGGGGGCTCCTCTAAAATTGGGGGCCCTGTGCGGTAGCCCAGCTTGCACAGCCTAAAATCCGACTCTGGTATCTTCAGCCAGCTCACGAACTAGCAACACTACGTCCTAACCTAATTTATTGCCATAATAATTTGTTAATTACAAAAATGGGGTTTAGATAGTAAACACTAACAATGGTAGTATGTAAAATTGAATATATGGAACAAGAAAACATGTAATTTAGAAATTTCTTTCCACACATGATTCATAAAATATGCATTTAAATAAATCTGAATCATCATAGTTTGCTCAAGATGACCAAATCGCTCGTGCCATAATTTAGAATAATTTGAGTCTTTAAATTTTAAAAAGTATCACAACATAAAAAGTACTCAAAAGTATATGCAATCCTCTAAAAATAACCTATATAATAATATAGGGAAGACATACACAATAAGTACAATCACAAGGGTACTCAACAATTATAAGGAGGTTAAATGCAAAACAGAAGCATTGATGATGAGACCATTGAAAGTCTCCAGAATCCATTTTCTCAACTTTTTGAGAGGTCATAATCATAAAAAACTCATAACTCGAATGATGAGTTACTTATAACTTTCAAACAAATGGCTTTTAAAATAACTATATCATGCATCACGTTGTGACATGATCGTAAAATGTATTTGGCAGAGTATCATAGGACTATAGATAGAAGTTGAGGACTTCATTCATGAGTCATCTAAATAAACTATCCATTTTAGAACCTACGAACCTCCTTTTTTTTAAAGACATTCCTTCCAATGACTAGTCACATTATCAAGTAGGGAATACTTGACAACTTATACAATGTATTCTCGAAAAGACTAAGTCTATGATGTTTTTCAAAAACCAGTGACACTCAAAATACTTAGTATATTTTCATCATGTACTACTATTATAGATTATAGTACAAGGTGACTAACTTATAAAGCAGTGGGACTCACATTACTTAGTATGATTTTGTCATGTATTACTATTGGAATACAAGATGCCTAGTCTATAAGGCTGATGGAGTCTTTTTATTAATTCAACTCTGTAACCTTTTGCTTGCATAGTTCCAATTGTGAAATAGCAATCCTTTCGGGATTGATATAGGATTTGTGAATTATTTTTTTGATGAAATATTCATTATCGATGTCTTGGTCTAATGGGTGACAAACAAAAAATTAGTTCTTTAATTTACCTTAGGGGCAAAGCTATGTTCAAAATTGAGAACTATAATTTTTTGGAATAAGGGTCAAATAGGCCACTCAACTGCACACCAACATGCAATTAGGCCATCCAACTAAAAAAGAATGCAATTGGGTCCTTGAACAACACAAACTTATACAATT